GCAAAGGCTGCATGAACATCACAGACATACACTGCAAGTTTCCAGCAACACTGATCACTTCCAACTCATAGGTGCAAGTAAACATGAGAGACCGTTTTAAGAAACAAGTCACAGAGCAAACGTCTCCACGAAACAGGAATTGAATTTAATCGTCCATGAATGGGAAGAATCCTGCCAATCAGCTGTATGTCTGAGCTGTTCCCTTAAATATTATTTTCTCCATATTTATCTAATAAAAAGCACAAGAAAACCTGACTTGAAAACCAAGAGAGACAATGTGTTCTATTCATGCATTTTTGTGCGTCCTGTTAATTTGGCATTAAATTGAAACAGTACTTCTTTGGGTAACCTCAACAACTAATCTCTTCAAACTCATCATTAAGGCAAAACGCAAAGGGCTTTACAGCTAGATGCTTTACGGAGACCAATTTGAAATACATACCAAGCAATACTTTCCTGACTGATGACGGGCCCGCACATGTCTGATGGCTGAGCACAATCTTCAGTCCTCTGGGAGCAGATTTCTGTGCCTGCTGCTCTGGAAAGAGGCACAAGTACAAGTAGAAAGTGCTATTTTGCAAAAAAGGCAAAGGGAGCATGAGTCATATAGCAATGAGACTGTCTAGTAATTGTACAATAGAACTGAAGAGCACTGCAGCACAGAATGATTCCAGCAACAATGTATGGCTATTATTTTGACCACCGATTGGAGGTAAAGCATTAAATGTACTGTATGTTGTTCAGGCAACTGGCCCATCATTATATGGTAATAAATGAAAAAGATCAGTGGAGGCAAATAGAAACTGCCATGTTTTTATCCCAGAGTAAATGCGCTATTAGTTTCATAAACTTTTGATTTGACTGAAGTTCTTTCATTAAATCTACAGTTATTTTTTATCAGCCAAAAACAGACTGTTCCTACTGAACTTGTTCACTAATTAAAATGAAGTTTCTTCTGCAGAGAGCGATCTCTTTTGTTTCACAAGCTCAGAATAACTACAAAGCACACACAGTTCCTCTTGTAACACTAGAGACTGTTAACTAATGTTTGCCACTGACTATTGACCGACTCTTTGTTCTTGATTGAATATTTCTTGTCACTGAATGAAGTATTAACCACAGTAAAGCCTACTATAACAAGCTACTGCAACAAAAGTCCTAAGTTCTACATTTGTAAGTATTCATGCGTTTACTCATTTTATGATGAAAACAGATCAGATGGCGCTTATGTTGAATTGTTAGAAAAGAAATGACTTTAGCTCTGAAAGTTGTCTTGTCTGTCGCAGTCAGTCCCATTAATATGCTTTGCAGTCATGACTACAGCCCTTTAAGAGCGATGACAACTTGGAGAGTTTTAATAAATCAACAAATTTGATACATTACAGTAAATAATTTTAGAAAAAATAATGGCATTTTTTTAACTTATTGCTGCCTTATAGGAGATATATGTATATGTATATGTATAGCACGAATATAAACAACTATTGATGAGGCATCTTGCACCTCTGGGTCAGCTTTGTTCATAAATCTTTTTATGCATTAGCAGTACAAGTGTGCAATTAAGGTGTTATGCCTTTGAATACATTTTCAAAAAGAATTGCACCTTTGGTATAATGTGAGAAGAAGAACATAAATTATGAATAGGTCAGCAGATATCTGTCCATAGGGATTAAGTAGGTGCATTTGCACAGCGATAAAACACAGGTGAAAATAAAAAAATACACACAAATAGGATTTATAACGGAAACAACAGAAAGGAAAGATGCAAATAAGTGGTGCAGAAGAAATAAACACATTTGTTTGACAAAGAAGAAGCTATGTTATAATAGGTACAGTAAATATTTTTTATTTTCTTAACGATCTTCAGTTTGGTACAATTCATCTTAAAATCTACCCAACCACATTGCATATACTCCTCTTCTAGCCAGCCTCATGTATTCACTACTCTGCTGTTATTCTAATCAAATGATTAATTACGTCTAATCACTTTGCAGTTTTAGTAAGATTTTGTTTCCTTTATCCCTTTTGTTTCCAGCGTTTTAATTGCATGTGTATGGTTTATTGCCTTTTTAAAATGAGGTGTCAGGGTTATAAAAAACTGCGCGCCATAACACTTGTAGTTGATGTAGATTAGCTTTAATGGTGGATTCATGAGAATGTGCAGTGAGATGGAAATTATATTTCAATCCTTTAACACTGTGCACACAATGAGCCACGAGAAAATATTACTCTTAATCATAAAACATAAATGGGCAGGTTCAGTTGTAAACTGTGATTTAGCATTTAGACGCCACACTTGCTCATTAACACAGGGGCCGTCGCAGTCTGTTTTAAACTGTTAGTCAAAGTCAAAATTTAAAGTCTTTGCTAATTGCTTGGAAAATGAAATCAATAAAGGAGGCCAAAAGAGCTAAACCTACTGAGTTTGTGTTAATTATGTCTAATTTAAATGTTAAAGTGAATTTGAAAGTAATCACGACTGACCACCGTTGAACAAACCTGACTGCAAATACTGGAATTTGCATAAATACATTACTGGTGATTATCCACTCACCTGTTACCTCGCTCTCTGCTTTGACCAAGTCACACAATAATGTGTTTCTTTATCTGTAGGGAAAAACAAAACAGTATGATAAAGAATATGTCAATCTCTATGTATCATCAGTTAAAAGCAAGTATAGACTGACTGCATGCAATGTAATATGTATAAAATGTATAGCACAGAACAGTCATTAAGTTTCATCACTGTGAAAAAAGTAAACCAGTTATAAACATCATTTTATGAGAAGTTTTGAGCAAATTTTTGGAATTTATTTATATCACTGATGTGGTGTTTAGTTTTCCGTACATTATTTTAGTGTCTTTTATTAAAACGTGTTTTATTTTATCACAGTTTAGCTGAATTCCTTATGGACTATTTAGTTAGAGATATGAAGGGATTTTAATTCAACAGGCATTTATTTGGCGTTAAAAAGGGCAGGTTTACTTTTTTTTAAGTGGAAGTTAGCATTTGATGATTAAATTAGTGTTATTATTATTAGGGTTACCTGCTTAGTGTTTAGTCTTCCTTTCAGTCCCGTGATCTACACTCCTAATGAGAGCCAGGCTTCAGGTGTACTAATCACAGAAGAGAATTCAAATCGCTAAATGGACTTCAGCTTTGATGTTTAAAGCACGGAAAATTACAGTGCATATACAGCTTTCTCAGGTTAAATGACAGAAATGCAGAAAGAGGTAAGCAGAGACATTGATGAGTCGCAGATAAAAGACACTGCAGTGTGCTGTTATTTCATTCAGCAATAACATACTATCAGAGGGTGAATATCTACATCCTGCGTGGTCCACTGTGCTCTTCACGAGCCAACTTCAAACGCTGAGCGGCATTATTATGATAATATGAGGACTTCTTACCTCTTTTAACTCCATATCATTCAGTGTCTGTTTAATGATGTAAAACTTCAGAGAATGGATTAAAAAAAGAAATGTATTAGTTTCTAAATAAGAAAGTGATCAAAGATTCAAGGACGATTGAGCAGGAATATAAATTATTTAACAATTGTGTCATTTGGAGACAGGTTGGTGGGCTTTCTTTATGAAGCGAGTTAGCCGTTACCTGAAAGTACATGTTAAATGGTCTTGGTGTCAGTTATGTTAACAAACTGCAGAAAAAAATACCAATTTAGCCACCTATTTAGAGAGTCTTACACACCGTGTTGAGGTTTATGTTGTTTTTATTAAATGCTTTATGTACAAATACAATTACACACAAAACAAAGCACGCATTATAAATGACACACTGTATATTGCTGATTGCTTTCAACCCAAACAAAAAAATGTGTTTTGCACGATTACGATCTCACATCTTATAGAATTAAATAAAAAACACAATATAACTTAGGCTAACTTTAGTCTGTTGTATCAACTCCATGAACTTTTACCATGAAGCCATAAGAGTTTCATATAGCAATCAGTTATGGGGATTGATTTCTGAACATTAAACATTTTAATAAGAAATGTCTGGATCATTGAGTCACTTCAGGTCTTGAATTTTGGTTTGGTTTCCATCTGTTGCCTTTATTGCCTTTAACAGAGTTTATCAGGCCACTTGTGTTCAGAGCAGCGTGTGGTTCTCTGTCTGTTATAATAATCATAATAATGATTTTTTGCAATTCCTACGGCAAGTTAAAGCCACAGTTGGAATCAAACAGGAAGTGGAATCTGCAGAAGCATCAAGAGACTAATTAAGCACACAACCACCCTTGATGTATTTTTACTAAACCAAATAATGAATACATTTATGGAGAAACAATTGTCTTGAAGCCAGTCTGTAACTCACAAGGTTAAGTTTTATTAGTCTGTAAAAGGTCCACTTAGACTAGACAGAGCCCGTAGCCAGACCAATCAGTGAACGGCGGAGGAAGGTGATGGGGGTCGGAAAAAGATTATTTTAAATTTGAAGTGGATATCACATTTTGCTCTGCGGCACTGGTTGGTTAAAGACTCATCCTGCCTGTTAAGTCATTCTGGGTGACCCACCATAAGCTAAGCCAGGCTTGTGCGGCATTTTATGAAAAAAAAAAAAACTGTCGAAAATATTAATATCTATTAAAAATGTCCAAACACACTAGAATTCATAAAAGTGGCTACCTCCTAGAGAAATACTAGACTATTTGTGGAACTCCAATGGGAACTAAAATGTGAGAAAAATTACATTTTGGTTGTTTTACGTGTCTTGAATGTCATAGTGGAAGAAAACTGTCATGGGAGGTCTCATGATGGTCTGACATGATTTGATTTCTATGTCCTAGTCTGACAACTTCAACGATGTGTTCTGTGACGCTGACCCATAAGAGCACAGAGTATTGTACATATAATGGAGCAAAAGAGGAATGATGTTGTTGGTGCCGTCAGGTGGAACAGTGAAGCCATCTACACCGATCAGCCATATCATTATGACCACTGACTGGTGAAGTAAATAACACTGATTATCTTGTTATCATGGCACCTATCAGTGGGTGAGATACATTAGGCAGCAAGTGAACATTTTGTCCTCAAAGTTGATGTGTTAGAAGCAGGAAAAATAGGCAGCGTGAGGATTTGAGCGGATTGAGGGCCAACTTATGATGGCTAGACGACTGGGTCAGAGCATCTCCAAAACTGCAGCTCTTGTGGGGTGTTCCCCCCCAGTCAGTACCTGTCAAAAGTGGTGCAAGGAAGGAAAAGTGGTGAAATGGCACAGGGTCATGGGCGGCCAAGACTCACTGATACGTGTGGGGATCCAACAAACGAGCTACTGTAGCTCAAAACTGCTGAAAAAGTTAATGCTGGTTCTGATTAAAAGGTGTCAGAACACACAGTGCGTCGCAGTTTGTTGCATATGGGGCTGCATAAAATCATGACCACCAGGGTGCCCAGGCGTTCATAATGTTACAGCTGACCGGTGTATGTAGTTCAAGGAAGTTGTGAAAGAAAGCCATGATTGGTCTGCGTCCAACAGCAATAAGCTATGACTCTATGATTGCCTAATCTGACACAGTGAGCGTCTCGAAAGACAAAAACATTGTGTCTCTTTCTGGCATAGAGGGGGGTTGGCTAGTAAACCTTGATAATCACTGCATTAAAGGCAATACATGGAAATTAATTTCTCACAAATCTGAGAGTTTAAACATCTGTAGTTTAATGTCCAAAATCTGAAATGACCACTTTTTGGGTACCGAGGTGCAATGAAGGGCATTTAAAAAGCCAATTTTAAGAACAACTTTCTTGTACATGATGAGTGTCTCTTTTCATTTCCTCTCTGTATTTTTCTTTATGAATAAAAAAATCACTACTCCAATAATCTTAAAGTTTGTGGATTTATGTGCTTTATGGGTTTATTCTTTATTTCAATTTCTGAAGGAGACAAAAATAACCCCCCAAAAAACAAAACAAGTGTTACAACATTTTATGAGGAATTTAAAAAATATAGAAATAGTTTGAAATTGGAGGTCACATATCTGGAGCACCTTCAGTATCTACCATAGGGATGTTTTCTGTAGCCCCTTCTTGTCAGCCGTAAAACTGGGGCTTTGAGACTGGGACGGGTAGTCGCCCACTCCTCCTCTGGAAAAAAATAAAACACATTGTGGAAAGCTGCAGCATTCACCGTGCTGAGAAAGTTCATGTCACAAAGTCAAACTGTGTGCTCAGGTATCGTATACTATCCTCTCACAATCCATTTAACCAAAGACAAGAAAATTCAAGCGAGCAAATTCTATCACAGGTACTATAGAGGCTTTTCTCCACAGAAAATTAATTTCATAAGCTCTTTGCCCTCTGTTGGACCAATACTGAGATCTGACTGTCAGCAGCTCCTTCCTTATAGAGCCAAATTACATAAAGATGGCCACTGCTGCTGCATGGCACATTGCACTGCTTCCAAATAAAAAAGTGTTTATGGAGCAGAAAATCAAATCATTGCCCCTTTGGTTTTGGTTTGGTCCGACCTCAACACCCCAGTGCACAATTCATTGTGCTGAAAATGAATGAGCCTGCAAACCCGCTGTGGCACCCAGCTTATCGCTGCCGTCATGTGACAACCTTGTAACTCCACCTTTGGTGATTTGAAACATTTTAGCTTAAATTGGAGCTTTACATGTTTTACTTGATGTTTTAAAAGCAATTTGAAGAATCATTTGCTCATTAAACCTTCTAAAATGTAAAAAGTAAAGTAACTCCCAAACCAGTTGGTGTTTTGGAGATACAAGATTTTTTTTTTTTTTACCTCACAGCACTGTTTTGTGCACAGCAGAGGTTACTCAGCCGATAGTAACAGCTTTTCTGGAATAAGCAAATGACGGCACATATCCAAAAGGCAAAACACTCCACCTTTACAACGGGCATCAGTTAGCCCCCTGAGCTTCCACTGGCACATTTACTGTTCTAGTCAAATACAGCTCGTGGCCAAGAAGGTAGGAGGGGTGATGCATGCAGGAGCGGTTCCCTGGGTGAGGATGATTAGAAGTGGGCTGGAACCACCAGGGTTTTTTCCTTTGTTTCACTGCGGTGTAACATCTTTTAAATATCAGTCAAACAGCAGCCAGGATTGTGTGTCCAACACTTTTCTCTTGTCAGGAAAGAATTCAAATAAGGTCCAAGGATGTTTCTTAAAAGGTTTGTTTTGTCCACTGTGTCCACATATTCGACTAACAACAGAGGCAAATCGCTGTTGTTTTTGTGAAATATTACTGGCTTAAAGTCAGGTACAAGGACAACACATTTCAGGAGAGGGGTTGTTATCACACTCAATGTGTTGCAGATACTGCTGTGACAGAAATTGGTTGCAATTGGAACTATACTGATGCTACTATTTTGAGTACTGCGAGTACTTATTGTCTAAATTATTCAACTAATTGTTTGGTCTATAAAATGTAAGAAAACAGGGAAAGATCACAATTTCTCACAATCTAAATTTCCTAAAGCCCATAGTGACATGTTTAAATTGCTTGTTTGTCTGACCAATAGTCCAAAACCCAAAGATGTTGAATTTACAATAATGTAAAACAAAAAAAATAAATCAGCAAATTCTCACGATTCAGAAGCCGGAACCAGAGAAATGTTTGGAATTTTTGCTTGAAAGAGTATTCAAATAATATATCAGTTACGAATTTGCCAAATCATTTTCTGTGGATGTTTTCAGCTCTAATAGTGCGATTATGATGATTACACTTTTGCTGCATGAAACAATTTACAGTAAAACAATTTGAAAGGATGACACATGAACAAACAATGTGACTGATATTTGGATCAATGACAAAAACAAAGTTCTGCTAAGCACAAAATAAGCTGTACTTACCATAGTTGTTGTAGGATTCATCACTGGTTCCATGTCCATATTCATAATATTCTGAAATGCTATATCAGACACAGTGGAAACATCAGTCAAAATAAAGCACAACAAACCCTATTTGTTCATAATTCTGTTTCTGTAAAATAAGGAAAGACGGAAGAAATAGTGAAATGTTTTGTTTGGATACAAATATTTAAAGGATACATATACGTTTGTCATTATTCTATATTTTACTTAGTAGCAAGTACCATGAAAAAAACAAAACCAACAATGTGTTATTGTGTCTGTCTATACTTTCCTACACTACTGAAGACATAGATCTTTAACAACAAGTCACAATATATATTTCCTCACTATAAAAAGGCTCAATAATTTCCTAAAACAGCCGAGCACTGTAGTGTTAATAGTTTCTTTCTATTAGGGACTATTTTCAGCTGTGGATTAATTCACATTTTGGTCTCTACTGAGTATTTACTGCAGGAGGATAGTTTCTGTGGTATTGACTACAATGCCTATGTTGCTCATTAATGTGTTTTTAATAATTTTTGAATGACAATGGAGATCTATGACACATATCAGGCTTCGATGCACAAGCAATACTCGGTTTTAGGATCAATTCATTGTTGGTTTTGGTCTGTTAATGGGATTTGTTGACAATAAGAAACATAAATATCAGCATGTAAATCCTATCAAATTAAAGATATGGGTGCTAATTCATAGTTCAGGCTAAATGTTGGGAGTGGACAAAGTAATCTAAGTGGAGGTCTTAACTAATTATTAATGAACATATGTAGTGCTGAGATGTACAGCAGTGATAAGACAGCTGGTCACAGTGGACCTTTCACATGCTGTAAGTAAAAGTAGACAGATGGTGAATGAAAAAATAGTGTTGAAGCTTTTTTTGTTTATCCAACATTTGGTGTGTGTGTGTGTGTGTGCGTGTGTGTGTGTGTGTGTGTGTGTGTGTGTGTGTGTGTGTGTGTGTGTGTGTGTGTGTAAACATCACCTCTTTGACTGATTGCTGTAGTTATCCTCATAGGCTTCGTAACTCTCGTCATCATATTCTCCACCATATCCATCATCGTAGCCCTGTGAGGAGACACACAGTACGCATTAAAGTCTACTTGTCTCATCGTCTCAGTCTAACAGTTAATATAAAAACAATCACTACTTAGTTCCACAGGCAAGTATCCGTAATAGGAGAGGAAACAGGAAATATTTATGTCCAACAGAGATTATTGATTAAGGTTTGCAGGGAAAATGTCTAACTAGTGGAGCCTAATGGAAACCTTCTGAGTCTTACACTGCAAAATGGATCTCAACTATTGATAAGTAGTTATACAAGCACAAAAAGCCAGCAAGTACAAGTCACACTCAATAACAATAAAGTGGCTAAACAGTATGCAGAACACAGTAAAGACTTCCTACATTTATGTACAGTCGTATAGATGCCTTGCAGAATGCCTCTCCTCCAACCCTGCCATCTGTAAGCATTGCTAATCATATACAGAATAAAAAAGACCCCCTTCTGTGCTGTTGTAAAGCAGGTAAAACCCATATTGCTGTAGTTTGTATATTTCTCATAAACACATAGCACACAGAGGGAAGATCATTCTGCAAAAGGCCTCTGTTGTGTGATGAAGAAACTGAAAGTATCAGTATTGTGTTTTTAAATATGCAATGCAATTCAATGCAATTATGTATGCTATTAAGATGTCGACATATAGTTTTAAAATGTGTATGTATACAAGCTAATCTTATTGCAAACCTGTGTTGAGCCTCAGACTGTTTCCCCCCCAGTCTGTTAATCCAGTTAGTGACTGTTTACATCTACAGAGGACTCTGTTCTCAACCCAGTTATGCAGTAACCTGGTTTTGGAACAATTCAAGTAAACATTATAACCCAGTTAGAAGAAGAAACCCCAGAGGGGCTGGCTAAGAAGCTTCTAATGTCAAATACTCTAATATTAAATTGGTTACTGTGGCATGTAGACAATCTCACTCCTTTCACTTTCGTGTTTTGTCATCTGCATAAACCATCCAATGTTCGCATAATATCAACAATTCAGGATCATCAGTTCATTCCCATGTATTAGAGACCTTTTCATCTTTTTATTGCTGGTGGACTGTGACTGTGTAATTTCCACTGGGGATATGTTGGACATGCCCCCCTTATTTTTCAAAATCCTCTTTTTGTCCATCTGACTTTTTATACTTTCAGTAGATTAACTCCTAAAATCTCTCTAAACACACCGCATACCCTTCGACTGTCCAGCTGCCAAAATCCAGATCAGAGGAAAGGAGTTGATCAAAATGTTTAAACACTCATCAGAGTTGCTTTCAATTATGGTTTTGCACTCACAGCAATTAAGTTTTATGAGCAGAAGCAAGCTCATGTTGGACTTTTTGCCCTCTGTTTAGCTTCTCAGGCAACTTTCAGGCTGTCCCAACTTCTTGTAGGTTTTTTTCGGAAAACTAGAAAATTGTTCAATAATAAAGCAACAACTGACATAACATTTTTAAATTGAATAATACTACCGTTTTTTGTGGAAAGTACAATAACCAATTTCATCATAATGTTATTTCCTAGATTGATATAGATGTAACAGCAAAAAACCTCTGACTTCACTGGGTGCTCCCCCCACTTCTGAAACAAAACCTAAGCCCTTGTGTGGACTGAGAAAAAAGTACTTCACATAATATTGTTGAATGGTTTATTCATGACAGCAGGGATAACCAATCTCAGCAGACCAAAGGTTCACATAAACAGCTTAACCTGAATAACACTTAAACTGGAGTAAGGCCAAAGTGTGTGCGGAAACAGTAAACTTAGCTATTGTCTGCCACTGTAATTGTTGGATCTTGCTCATTTAAAGATTTAGTGAAGTGCTTATGTTCCTTTTTCATTATGATCTAATCTCTTCTAATCCTTCCGAAGCTTGCTTTTTTAAATCAAGCCCTACAATGATACATACAAGTGTTCAGTTCCTTTCAGATATCGAATATATTTTGAATCAGCAGAATAAAATGTGTTGAAAGCTTCGATGAAGCTGGTTTATGCCAGACTTGGTCTCAACAGCACATTATTTCCTCCATGTCTGCCTGTAACAATAAAGTAATATCATCTTGCTTTAGGTGTGGCTCCTTTTGGTAATGCTTTGTGACAAAAAAGCAGACACGTCACTGTGAAGGACATCAAGTGCAGCAACACAAAAGAAATTACATTTAAGGCACTTGTACACACTCTCCCTCTCCTGTCGGGTAATGCTGATTCAAACAGTTCAGGTTCCTGTGTGGCTTTACTTGTGTGAACATGAATTTGACTAAATTAAAGTTAGGGATTATGTCAAGGATTAAGTTGTTCAGGGGATCCAATACTTCTCCTTTTCTTGCACGAGTCTTTCCCCACAAAGGCAGAGTCAGAGACCTCCGTATCTCAGTAATTGACTGTTTTGTTAGCAATCCCATATGACAAATCGCTCCACGCTGGACCATGAATGTAAAGCAATCAGTGGATTAATTTCAGTCAAACGCAAAAAGTATTAAAACTGTGATTTTTACCAATGAACTGGAACAATATTTGTGCTGCTTTTAGACATAGAAAAAATGTCAGTGTTACTCTTACAGCACTCTCTTAGCACATTAGATATGCAAAATAAATAACAAAATAAATGATAGAGACGGTTAATTCATTTGAACACATCATAGCCCAGCATACTGTGTGTAGCTGTGTGTTTACTGGAAAGCTGTGTGTGTGTGTGTATGTGTGTGTGTGTGTGTGTGTGTGTGTGTGTGTGTGTGTGTGTGTGTGTGTGTGTGTGTGTGTGTGTGTGTGTTCAGCTCACCATGAGGAAGGTATTGATAAAGCTATCTCAGTGTCACGCTGGTGTTTACACAGTTATCCGGTTTATGCTTTTTCATCTAAAAAATGTTACTTTTAAAAATATAGTTTCTAAGGAAATACTATTCCTAGGTTTTTCTTGACTGAGGCATACTGTTGAGTTTTATTTTAAAAAGGCCCAGTGTGTAACATTTGGGGAGACCATTTGGCAGGGATATAATATGCATAACTATGTTTTCATAATCACCTGAAAAGAAGAATCATTGTGATTTTGTTACCGCAGAATGAGCCTTATAGTCCTTCAATAGGGACAATTCAAATACGCATTGTGAGGGGGAAACAATGCAACAAATGTAATGTTTGTGTCACTTTAAAGATAACGCAACAAAACGTTCATCACACTTTGACTTATCTCTCTGCTGACCTCAGTATTACTTTGACCCACATCACTGGCTGCATTGAGACTCAACAAAAGCACTATACTATACTATACTACTATAAACAGTCCGCCCCCCTTATTAATGAGGCCTGATTCTTCTAATTTGACACTCATCTGTGAAAACAATTAACACTGGTCTTTTCTAACAAGGCAGAGGAAATAAATCAAATGTTAACACAAGGGTGGAGAGTCCTCGCTCAGTGTAATTAGGACAGCGAGAACCTAAAGGCCCTTAGCACTGTGCTTCATTATCAATTGACAACCTGTATGTCCCCTGACAGTGACTGATCTTCATAGGGAGCTGCCTGTGAATGCTTCTCCACACAGCAGAATGGGGAGGAAAATGAGATTTGCAGCCTTTTGTCTCAGTGAATAGATGCTGCTCTTCACTGCTTTCTACCTGTGCAAATTCAATCAGCATGCACCTTTTGTTGTCGGTTATACACTTAAAGTATGAGTTTACTTTTGAATATATTTACTAAAGGGCAAATTTGAACACATTAAATAATTCTGATGAGATTGAGCCTTGATTAGTTTCTAGAATAGTGACACTAAACAATATTATGTTTGTCACATTTTGCTGTCAAGAACAAAGTAAACAAATCAGACAAGTATTTCTCAGTCTTGTTTGTAGAGTTTAGCATTAACATTTACCTGCATCTGTCTGCTTATTCCCTGACAAACAGCATCAGTCTCTGATGATACGACAGAGGCCATTATGCATTCTACCTAGGTTTTTCTTCTGTTAAATAATCGAGTGGAAGTGTGTGTCATACATCTGTTTTAATAAACAGAAGAGTTCTGCATGGAGAATTTCCATAATTAATCCAACAAATGTGAACTCAGCAGTATATCTGAACCTATTGTTATAAAGCAATTACAGCAGATGTGCATAAAGGTGGCCTGAGAAACTGCTCTCCTTCAAGAAATATACAGAACCTCACGAATCTCACGCATCTTTTATGTTCATGAAATAGATGATATGGGGAGAATTTTTCCCCTATTTCAAAAGGGTGTCCTTTTGCTTTTTCCACAGTAGATAGATTAGACTTTTTTTCTTCAAAGCCTCCCAAAGCTCTGTGTTTAATCACATTATGGCATTTCCCGCACTGCCTCGGTATGGTTGCAGGGCTCAGGTTTAAAAACCAGGCTATGCCTTTCAATTTTTACCAGCAATTTGTACAATTCATGGTCTGCTGTCAGGGACAGAATCCTGTATCACTCTCAGATTCCTCTCCTCTATCATCGGCCTTGACATTAAAAGATAAGATTTGATCCAGATGGGATTTGATCTTTAACATTAAACTGAGGCCATGGTCCCAGTCTATACAAAATGCCATCAATCACATCTTTAATCTCCCTATGCTCTCTCTTTGCACTTTGCACATGGAGGAACTTACACAGTGAAATATTTACCTGCTGCTCTTTCGAGGGGATTAGTAACATTCATAAACACTTGCTTAAAAGTCACAAAATCACCGTTATCAGTGATCATTTGTGCAGTTCAGCTGCAACGTCATCTACTAAAGTATATCTTAGCACTACATCTAAAATGACGCATCTCAGTAAAGTAACTTTAATTTTAATGACTCTAGAGAATCAGTGTGAAATATCGGCTCTTTTAAGAGGGAAACCATAAAATATAAATGTGACAAAAATAAGTCTAAGGAGTGTTGCCACAGATCCGATCACATACTGTAAAAGCTCAGTAGTGAAAGTGGTACATTTAATAATCTCATGTTTCACATTGAACTCAAACTGTCTTAAGACCTGCAACAACTTACTATACCTTCTCCAATGTGCTTTATG